GGTCAAATAACTTAGACGTATTATGTTTATTTATTATAGTTTTCATCCTTTCAATTCCACAAATTAATTTCTTGGAGGCTGTAGAAAATTGATTAAGAAAAATTCTAGAATTTTATTTTAAAGCGTTTTTATTTTCCCAAGTACTTTCAATCGTATCTGAGACCATCTTCAAGGGTTGCATATATATGGATCTGTTATGCGTTGATACCGTAAATTCAAAATATTTTTTATCTCTATGGAAGGGAGGCAACTTATGTGATCTTTTAAAAGATTTTTTTAATATTTTTAATTGTAGTATTTTTATATAATACTCTACAAGCACTTAAGAAATTTATTCCTATACTCGTAGTTAATTTTATTTATTTTTGACCGCAATTCTCTCAATTTTAAGTTTTTGCTTATTATTATCTTGATGGAGCACTGATGTGTTTTCGACTAATATTTGTCTAAACTGTGAATGTGGACGTGAGTGTTCCGTTAAATGTTCTGAGATTAAACTATGATTGTTCAAGTGAGCCTTCTCGTTATAGTCGTTGTTGTAAAGCCAACATTCGTATTAACATTTTTATTACAGATGCAATCTCCCAAAGGACATTTAAATTGATATACAATGTTGGTCAACACGAATTGATGGAGAATACTTGTTATGGGTTACTAGGTTGGTTATATTAAAGATAGTATAGTATATAATTAATTTTATTTTTTTATTTGGATCAGTGGGGGATATATTATTTTTTACAACTCTTTTTAGAATTTTTCCCTCCTGCTTATAGCGAGAATATATTTGGTTACGGTATAGTAGTTTGATATGTTTAGAGTTATTTGAGAACGTATTATGTTCATTTTTATTTATGTTACTATTCCCAGTAGCTCGTCTAATTTGTTTATCAAAGATGTAATCAGGAAAGTCATTATTAATGAGGTCTTGTTTAATATTTTTTTTACTTCAGTATAGAAAATCTTTCTTGTTGAAGAGTTTGCTTTTGTATGTTTTATTAAGCTTCGTATAATAGCTATTTTATTATGGTTAGGACACACACTTTGATAGTTGAGTGTGTACGTGTTTATGCTAGTTCGTTTTTTTTATATCGGGAGGTAGTAAATGTATTATTATTACTGTTTACCAATATATCAAGAAACGGGATTTTATTTGGTTTACTTCGGACACACAAAACTGTTTGTCTTAGCCAGCATAACACTGATAAGATGATATTGGAATATATCGAAAGTACTTGGAAAAATAAAAATGAATAAATATAACTATGGTACCTTCCTCGCTGTCTTTAATCATGAAACAACAAAGTTTATACGTGGTTACGAAAGGATACTATTGAAAATAAACAAATACAACTTGTTTAAATTTTGTTAAATATGCTGTAATATATATATATATATATATATATATATATATATATATATATATATATTTGTATGTATATATATATAGACATGTATTTGTGTATATATATATATACGTATATATATATATATATATATATACGTGTAATGCGTGTACATATATACGTGTATTTGTATATATATGTGTATTTGTGTGTGTATATATATATATATATATATATATATATATATATATATATATACATGTATTTGTGTATATATATACATGTATTTGTGTATATATATGTGTGTGTATTTGTATATATATACGTGTATTTTTTGTTTATTATATATATATATATATATATATATATATATATATATATATATGAAGAAATATAGTCTTAAGATGTGCTACATTTATGGGATAAAGTGTTCAGTATCAGAGATAGAGCGTGTGTAAATATAAAATGAACATAGACGTCAACACTTAGAGGCGAAAGTCCGTTTCACGTTAGACGCAATCTTCAGGCCACGATTGCGTCTAGCATGAAACAGTTTACCGCCTCCAAGTTTTGACATCTATGTTCACTTTATATATATATATATATATATATATATATATATATATATATATATATATACACACAAATGGTTCCCAAACTTTTATCTCTGGGCCGCATTTTCTGAATCAAAATTTGTTCGCGCCTCACCAAATTTAAAGAGATAAAAAGTATATTTAAAAATAAAAATCGGAGAGTATATTAAAGGGAGATAAGCACGTATTTAAAGTCGGAATATTATCATTGATAACTCTCTCCTCCAATTCACATACTTAATTGATATAATGCAAAAATATCACAACGATGAAATCCGTCAATAATTATTTTAAGCTATATATACTGGGACTCATGTATGCAATTTCATGTAATCCATAATAATATTTTAAATTTCTGGAATCATATTTTTTTTTTTTTGTATATGAATTTTTTTAAACTGTTTCTAAAACTTTGATTGCCTTTCAAGGATTCCATCTCACCTGCTATCCTCTTCCGCGTTTTTTTTTTTTTTTTGATGCGTTTCGTCTTTTGGGACTTCATCGGACTAAATTTAAAATTTAAGTCTAAAAAGAAGAAATCAAATTTAATTTTTTTTAAAAATTAACCACCATACCTGGTTTGTGTAGTCGCGCCAACATAAAGATAAAATTAATCCGATGAAGTCCTAAAGGATGAAACATCTCACAGGAAAACTGTTTACACTTTGTCATACATTTTCCCAATATATATATATATATATATATATATATATATATATATATATATATAAGCGTCGTAGTAGGATATAGAATCTGTACAAAAGTGTAGAAATATACAAAAACTTTTAAGGACAAAAAGCGTTTCGCCTCCGTGCCGTTCGGTTGGCTACTTTCATACTCGGAGGCGAAACGGGTTGTAATTAAAAGTTTTTGTACTTTGTCTCATTTGTACATTTTTGTTCGAATTCTATATTCTACTAACAAGAATATAAATATATATATATATATATATATATATATATATATATATATATATATATATATATATATATATATATATATGTATGTATTGGTAAATATAATATAGAGAGCGTGGGTAAATATAAAAGTCGATAATGTAGTCAACACCAAGCAGCGACAGATTGTTTTTTCTTGAACGTAATCTTCAGGCGACGTGTGTCGTGATTTGTTTTTGATGTAAAAGCCAATACATGGCCTGAAGATTGCATTCAAGCAAGAAACAGACTGTCACCTCTTGGTGTTGACCTCAATGGCGACTTTTATATTTTTGTCTTATATTTACGTATAATATATATATATATATATATATATATATATATATATATATATATATTATACGTACACACATGCATACATACGAACACATGGGCACGTATATGGTTTTATTTATAATATGAACAATATTTAGGATCGAAATATATTAAAAGGCAAAAAAAATGATTTAGGTCAACAACCAACATTCTGAAGCATAGAACAGCAAAATGAATTCCAACCAAATTAAAGCGTACTAGGAAGTAATAAAAATCGGTTTTTAGTGGGTTTAAATGAATCGAATCAAAGACTTAGGAGATAATTTACGATTTGTTTTGAAGAATACACGAATTCCGCACATGAGTCGTAATTTTGTGTTGCTGTTTCGCGCGCCTCTAAAGTTCGTCACAAGAAATACAATGAAAAAAATATTTTTAAAAAGAAAACTCCAGAAGCTGCTGTGTGAAATAAATAATTTGTAGTCATATTTTCATCAAAAACTCATAGTAATATGTTTAATTCAAAGATTTAAAACTATATGAGCCACTAATCCTCAACAAAAATGGGCAAGATATTATTATATCTCCACATTTCTTTCTCACGGACTTTTTCCATTTATCTATATAAGTATATTGCATCTATCTATCTATCTATCTATCTATCTATCTATCTATCTATCTATCTAAATATATTTCTATCTATCTAAACTTGTCTCTAAGTGTCTAAGACGCGATGGATAAATTGTCGTCTAAATGACGCAAAAATCAAAATAACACTGTCATCTAATTTTAATAGATATATTTACCAAAATTACACAAAATAGGAGTAATGGATAACGGTTCGCGTTGAGGAATCGAAGAGCCGAGTTCGAATTCCAGTCGAATCTATTACATTTACTTACGAGCTAATACAAATTCTCATCAATGAATCCTCTTATAATCCTATGGGTAAATAGTTTGGCAACTGGTCTACTGCAGAAAGAAATGACAACCTACTGCGGGAGAAAAATCTGCCTCGTCAGTCATCTATCGAAAGATAAATGATCGCCTATGCGTGTATCACGCATGACACAAAAATATCATGAAATACTAAGGAGTAAATTTCAAACACGGGATCTCCTGCATCTCTTCTGCACGGTCTCCTTGTTTAAGTTGATAAATGCTGCCATAATCCATGACTTCAGTTCATCTTCAGTGATACAAGGGGGTTGCAGTTTGGGGAGTTAGGTGGCCAAATGTAAGGGGTGATGTGGTCGCAGAACTGACTAGGTTCTGCTGCTTGTCTGGCATGGCGTAGAGCCCTGTTGCCAGACATAGGGTCTTCCAGCAGCCACCGTCTTGATCCATTCCAGGCACTTGATGTAGGCCTCCGTGTTGAGAACGATCCGAGTGAATTTTCCTCGCTGCCGTACCATCTTCATCACCATTAGATTTATACAACTCTACCGGATCCTCTGCACTGTCCGCAGATTAACACCCAAACACTATGGAATGTTCGTATTGGAAATTCCTACGCGAATGCCAAACAGTGCAGCATACCGTTTCCAAATTTCTGATGAAATCATAGTGCTCTTTTTCTCATAGATGGTGCCCAACTGACACCACTATACTGCGCCGTCGACAAAATCAAAAACAAAGAATGCGCATGCGCGAAATTAAAAATATAAAATGGTGACAATTTAGGCATCGCACCCCATCTATCCTTCTATCTGCTTACATTTGGTTTTAAATATTTTTTAAACTTGTTAATAAAGTAGCACTATCGAAAGTTAACAGCCAATGGGACAAGAAGATCAGATTTAGTAACTAGAAACAGATGATATTACATAAATGAATAAAGAAAGAAATATAGTTATATAACGATAAAGTTAATTCTCCACCAGGCCAAGAATGATATAGGACTATTTACTGGATGGCCTCACAAACCTTTACATTTAAGTGCGTTCAGACCTCCATGCCTTCGTTTGTGCAACTAGGACTTTTACGTTAGTATAATGATGAGATGATGCCGAGAAAATCGATCTCCGGACAAACTTCGATGCTTGTCCTGTTTGACCCATAATATAACAAAGATTTAACCAGTTTCGAAGGAAAAACATCGCAAACTAATGGCGGAATCACACTATGGAATTTATAGGGAAAAAAAGTGGTTGTCGTTTACTGAAGAAGGTTTCTTTTCCTTTCTGAAACACTTGGCTTATCACAACGGAAATTGAGTAGCCTTGAGACTTGCGGGTACAAATCTTCCGTAATCTGCAACACGAGTCTCGGGTGATATAAAAGACATTCGATCTGCGGTTCTGATTAGCTGAGAATGTTAGAAAAGAAAATTGATGCAATGGAAATAAAAAAAGTAAAAATTCAGCTCAAAATACATTAATCATAATTTTTTTTTTATTTTCTTAACATGGGAAGGTAGTCCTTAATAAAGATAATTCTTGGTGGTAAACTCCATAAAAAATAACACAAAATAATAATTACAGAAGAAAATTAATTCGTATTAAAACAACATGGATTTAAAATTCTCTGACCTGATAATGAAAGCCGGACCATCCTATAACTTTTCAGCTAAAGATGCAAGTAAAACGATCGACTACCTGTACCACTCCAGTAAGTACCGGACTCCTCATTCTATTGTCTACCGTTATAATAGCCAGGTCAGGCTGAAAAATGAGTGTTGTTGCCAAATGTGGGCAGGAGCTGCCCAGTTTCTATTTTCCAGTCAGAGTTCAAAAGCTTCCCCGAGTTAATGTTGGAGAAGAATTATTAGTTACCACCCTCAAACCTCTCTTTCACAGGCGGAATATGGCGATCCTATCGCTACTACTAGGGAAAGTTCTCGGAAGGTCTAACCTTCATGGCTAGGAATCGTCATGCCACTTACATAGTAACAAACCATTCCCTCGGCGAGAAGTAACTTTCACTCAATCAGCTTGTTCCCACGAAACACGGCCCTCTGGAACAAACTCCCAAGAGGATGTTTCCCCGATCACGGCAATCTTAACCTGTTCAAGTCTAGAATCCTTCCCTCCTATACATGTAAACGTCTACTAACGTAACTCTACTACAAGTGCCCACCGGGCGTTGTACAGGGTGAACCTTACTGTAAAAAAATCTCCCCCTATCCCTCCCTCTCTCTCTCCATATATATATATATATATATATATATATATATATATATATATACAATTTTTAAATCGTGCATGAAACTCAGAGTTGTACCATCGGTGAGGATATATATATTTATTAATACATGCTTAATAGCACTGTTCTATTAACTCCAGCACTATATGTGCAATATATATATATATATATATATATATATATATATATATATATATATATATATATTTTTTTATAAAAATTATAACATAGTATGTTATAAAATCACTACAAAATAGCCATTTAAATTTTATTTAATTTTATTTTCAACATCATCCTTGATAAGACACAGAGTGTGTTGAAACAAAATGGCTATTTTTGTAGTGATTTTATAACATACTTATGTTATAATTTTTTTATAAAAATAATTATATCTGTCTACTTTGTATTGAGCACTCTTTTAAGAATAGTAATTGTTGGTTATTGGAATTCATTCCGTATATACCAATTATATACTTTATATATATATATATATATATATATATATATATGTTAATTTTTTCCTCACCGATAGAATGACTATCATGCACAACACAATCTTCGGCTGCTGATTTAAGACTCTTAAACTGAGCGAAAAAAATGTATATATGTTAATATATAATTTATACTTCTGTTATTTTACATCGACCACTATTTTATTAACGCCATATATATATATATATATATATATATATATATATATATATATATATATATATATATATATATATCTATATATGTTAGTCTATTGTAACAACAGCAAGGGCAGTTCCTTTGTCTTTGTTGTTCACTGAAGAAATTTAGGTTCAATATCAAAAGATGAATATGAGAAAAGAGTTCAGAATTTCAGCTTATATTTTCTGTTATTTGAACTCAGATGTATTAAACAGCCTACGACATAACACCTTTTGTATCAGGTCACCCCATTTTTTCGTAAACAAATGTATAGAACAGGTAGCCTTAAGTAAATAATATTTAATATTTTGTTGCTTAAACCTTACTTGCAATAACTGCATCAAGCACACTGACATCAATAAACCGTTGCAAATTTCACTTCTTATCCTTTTCCAGCCTCTTTTTATTAACGCAGACTCATTCAGTTCTTGTTTTCGGAAGTTTCTTCCTTCATCCCCCTCTTCAGGGGATGAAATACATCTATGAAATACTCTACTTGTTTAAGTTTCAGTTATTGACTGGGCCAGTATAAAATGGTCTACTTTTTCCCATAGTGATTCCTTTGTTGCTTCGGCAGTATGTTTTCAGTCATTTCTACCGATTAGTTTGAATGCATTTCTCTGTAAATTTGCAGACAAAATGTTCTTTAAACTGTATTCATTCTGCTGCTACCATCATGTGTTCCACCATCAATAAATATGAATGAGCCTGTTCGAGAAGCAGCCATGAAGCCTAAGCCAACGACTGCCTGCACCATCCATGACAGATGAGATTGTATACTTTGGATTATAAGCAGATCTTTTTCTTCTCCATACTTTGGCCTTTCCATCACTTTAATCTAGATCTCACCAGTCCATAAAACTTTCTTCCAAAACTTTTGTCACTCATCTCTGTATTCCTCGCAAATTCCAATCTGGCCTTCCGATTCATACTGTTGATGAGTCGTTTGCATTTTGAGTATGACCTCTATAATTCTGCTCTCTTGAAGCCTTGACCTCTGCAATGTAGAGGTTGTTGGTGATGTCACTGATTGTTGTTTTGGAGTATTTCCTCACATTTCTTACAATGTTTCTGTCATCAACTGCGTTTGTTTTCCGTGACCATCCTTTTCTATGTCTATTGCCCAGTACACCATTAGTTTCTTTAAGGAAATTCGAAATTGTTGTGTTGGATATAACCCAATGTTTGTCCAATGGCTGTGATTCATTATCCTTCTTTTCTCAGGTTCTCCCAGAGACAGCTCTCTCGTCTTCATGTTTAGTCATCATTTTTAACAAGAAATACAGTCTTTATAGATGAAATGCAAGGCTAAAAGTAAGAGTAATCATTCAGAGCTATTTAATCTTTAAACAATCAATATAAAAGGCAACACCTGGGTAACAAGAAACATCCGTCAAACACGTCTTCCAGTAGTTTTGCTCACTTACAAATTGGTGGGTGCAAACTAAAGTGATATGCCCTAACTTGTTAAACAAATCAGTATATAAATACCAGAGAATAAAAGGCGAATGTTGGAACTCTTGTTTCATATTCATCATTTGATCTTCAACCCAAATGTCTTCAGTGAACAGCAAAAACAGACGAATAGCGTTTGCCGTTCCAATACTTTATATATATATATATATATATATATATATATATATATATATGTGTGTGTGTGTGTGTGTGTGTGTGTGTGTGTGTGTGTGTGTGTGAAAGAGAGAAAGAGATAAATAGATAGATGGATATGATAAAAATATAGTTTTAAGATGCTATATTTATGGGTAAAAGTGTTCAATATCAAGGATAGAGCGTGTATAAATATAAAGTAGACATTGAGGTCAACACCGAGTGGTGTTAGCCTGTTTCATGCATGAGTGCATGAACTTTAGGATATATATATATATATATATATATATATAGATAGATAGATAGATAGATAGATAGATAGATAGATAGATAGATAGATAGATGCATGTTTCATTAAATAATATAGACAAGTTTACCATCCTCAGGAATAGATATCAATTTTTCTCAGTTTCAGGTAATTTCGGCTAAAATTCCAAGATGAAAATGAATGTGATACTTGTCGATGTTTTATTAAAAAATGTGTGCTATTATTATTTTACCCGAAATTACCAAGAAATTGAGAAAAAATAACATCTATATAGACTATCGTATATGAGGAGTGTTCCCTGCCATGGATGTCTCCCCAGGCATTGGTGGAGAAAAAGATAAGAGTTCAGATCGTTTGTATTTGAATGCATCGATTTTTAAGGGCGCTCGTCAGCTGCTGCTGTTACGAAACGTTGTACCTAGACATGGGCAGAACGAAACGATATACCTAAACATGAGCAGAACGAAACGATATACCTAGACATGAGCAGTGGAACGAGAACAGTCTATTCCTAATAATAAATAAAAGGTTCAGTTCGGAATTTTCAGTAGGTTACACGCGATGAAAACCCCATGGCACAACAGCCAAAACTTTGTGATAACAGTCCGTGTATAAATAGTGTAAATAACTTCTTTTTTCTACGGATAATGCTTCGCAAGAAGGCTATAAATCAGGAGTCGGCAACTTTTAGAGAGAGCGAGCCAGACAGCTATGCAATGTCTCAAATGAGGGTCGTGAAATCAAATGCATTATAATGAATTGAATCAACCGCTGCGTTCAGAAGGCTACCTTGGTATGGAGGTTTAAAGAAAAAACAACGAATTTAATGTTATATTATTTAAATAAGGTTCTTTATTTTACTACAGGAATAACAGGATAAAAACTAACACAATCAACAAAAAAATGTAAATTCTTTAATACGATTAAGTTAGCGGGCTGGTCAAAAACCCTTCACGGCCTAGATGTGGCTCGTGGGCCGGCGGTTGCTAAGCCCTGTTGTAAATGATACTATGCTAGTTTATGCTAAAATATTTCATGACTTTTTCGTTTTTGTGAAAATGTTGAATTCTAAGCTTTTGTAGCGAAGATAACAGAATTGTTTACAAATAATTAAATGTCAGTACAAATGTTTCTTAAAAGATCCGTTTTATCAGAAGAAAAAAAAAAGAATTTTGTGTTCATAATAAAACCAATTTTTCTATAAAAAATATTTTCGCATGCAATCAACGTTCAATGATAAGATGAACAGCGTTTGCACTAGATCAACTTTTAGTTTTACAAAAGTCTGTGCATTTATTTATTTCACACAGAAAGAAGAAATATTTGTCAAACATGAACCGTCATGGCCGCACAAAAACGATGTTTTGCAAAGGACAGTTTTTCCATTATATTTTAAACTACGTTCATGCTATCGGCAATGTCTAGATTATAAAAATATATATTTACCTTTTATAAAGATGTATTTTTTACCATTTTATAAAGAAATAAATGTGAAAAGAAATCATTTATTTAAAAATTTAAAAAATATATTTTCATATTTATTTCTTTATAAGACATTGCAGTCTGTTAGTTGCTTCGCATATTAAGAATGTTGTAAATGTAAAATTATTTTTGTAAATAAAAAATCTAATAAATAAATAGTGTGTAAATAATGTTGTAAATTCCCAAAGAACAAAGAAAATATATAAATTCAAGTTCATAAGTTTGGGGTTTATTAAAATTTTAATAATCGTTTTTTAAAGCAAAAAACATTCCCGATGAAAAGAAGGTAGGTACAATTGACAATTAGATTTAAAACTTATCGCATTGTAGATAGTTTACATGTTTTAATCATTTTGTTATTTAAAAAACAATTTTGAATAAAAAGATTTATTTTCAGATTTTTTGGTTTATAAAATGACAAATAATAAAGATTTTATAATCTTGTAAATAACATTTGCCGAGGGAGTGAGCGTAGTTAAAATAGATATTTCAACAGAAAAAAAACTCCTCTTTCTTGAAATACCATTTTTTTTTTTGTTTTTTTTTTTTGTGGACACGAAGGTCCATGTTTGCCAAATGTTTATTCTAGAAGAAAATGGAATGAGGGAAACGTTTTTTGAAAGAGGAAATGGTGGCTTTGAAAACGCGCGTTACTAGATCCTCGTTCAAACGTAAACAACTGTTCCATCTCCGTGGTTTACAGATTGAAACGACAGACGGGAGACCTTCGAACGGCTGAGCTACGGGCTTTGTTGGCTCTGGCCCGAGTCACACCTGGCTGTACCGACGTAGCATGTGGACTTGTTGATGTAGAGCAGAGGTACAGTACATACAAGCAACCCCCCGTGCCAAATAAAAGGAATTACAAATGATATTTCACTGAATAGATTGTTAATCATAGTTATGGTAGTATTATTTTATCAAAGAAAATATCCGAATGAGAAACATTTAATATAGTTGGGTTTTTTTTTTTAAGGAGAAATTTTCAGCAACAATCATTAATAATAATGTAAGTTTTTGAATATGCATGTATATTAAGTTATCTGTCAAACCTCAGACAGACGAGACTTTCTTCAAAATATTGCACAGTGCCAAAAAAGTCGATTTTGGATGACTCCAAGTTGGTATGGTATCCCCAGTTGGTCAAAGAAATAACACAGTTGATCCCAGTGTACCAATCAGCACTGGAATCACCTTGACATTCCCTTCCCATATTCCAAACAATCTTGCTATCTTAACGTTCATATCAGAGTCGTTTGTAATTGTCTCAGTCGTCTTGTTTTCTATATTTATTTCATTTGGTAGGGCAATATCAATAATATGACAGTTGTTGGTGCTTTTATTTAGCACAATAATATACGAACGGCAATGGTGTATCACTCTGTCTGTCTGAAAATCATAGTGACAGAATACTGTGAATTTTCACTTGTTCTGCAAGGTTCTGCACGATCGTACAGATTTTTCTGAAACTTGGTATCCATTCTTTCGGCACAATAACTGGTGTAATTGAGTTACCAAAAACAACAGTAGAAAACCGGAATTGGTTTAACAAGTTTATTACCTTTTGGTACAGGGAAATATAATGATCAATCAATATCAATAATATGACTGTTCTTGGTGCTTTTATTTAGCTCAATAATATTCGAACGACAATGGTGTATCATCCTATCTGTCTTAAAACCATAGCCCTAAAATAGTGTGGGCTTTCCAACTTCTTATTTATCTGTTGTTGTTATTATTATTAATAGATATGTGGATGTTTGTACGAGATATCTGTTATTTTTGCTCGGGATGAAGTGATAGCAATACATTAATTTTAACAGATTTTCTCAGTTTCCAGCACAATCGTTGTCTAGAGAGTCACAACACTTCATTTATCCAGTTATGCATCGTGTAAAACCAAAGCGAGATCCTTGTATTTGTAAACTTTTTGCTTTCTTTTCATTGCATCATCTCGTCTGCTGACACAAGCGAGTCTATAATAGTAGCATTAGTAATGGTCTTATTTTATACCATGTAGATCAAACAGGACAAATTAGTATCAATTTTTGGCATGAATTTCTTTGAAATTATTCATTTTGATTTTTATTGTAACTGTTAGAAAAATGATAAAATCAAGGGAAATAAGATTAAATATATGTTGGTCATTCATTCGAATTTAGCTATATAGCTATATTCTCTACTTCTACGAAGTATTCCTAGTCAAAATAATTGACAATGCTTCATCTAAGAAGGCTAACCAGCAGGAGTCATTCAAATATAGCCATATAGCTATATTCTCTACTTCTACTTCTTATGGATGGGAGTTGCAATAAAAAGCAAGAGAAATGAAGATGAAAGAAATACTAGTGAAAAATGAATAATAATTGACAAGGCTTCATCTAAGAAGGCTAACCTGCAGGAGCCATTCAAATTTAGCCATATAGCTATATTCTCTACTTCGACTAATGTATGGGAGTTGCAATAAAAAGCAAAAGAACTTAGATGAAAGAAATACTAATTAAAAAAAGTGCTTCCTTTCAGAAGATATAAAACTGGAAAAGAAGATATCCTTTCTTGGAATTTGTTAATCTTTTGGATAATTTTTAACCTTTATTAATTTAAACTTAAAAAACATTTTGAAAATTTCTTGTTATATTGTGTCCATTATCGCAACAAAATTTGAAATTATTTTACTGTTTTTATTTAATTCGTTTATGCTATTGTGAGTCGGACAGGAAAGGGACAAATTCATTGCCATGATCATCACATGACCTAAGGCTTAGTTCTTTATATTAATCTCATAAAAACTAGAATTCTTATTCAATTCTAGTTTCAACTTTCATTAAATGATTCTCATTCGTTTTTCACATCATAACGATGGCATTGTTTCTTAAAATCCCCTAAAGCGACCCTGCTGTAAGTTTCCCAAGACATGCTATCAAGTTTAAGCGACAATCTATTCAAAGAAACAAAGCGTTTTCCTTGCATCTAAAATCATTGTATCAAACATATAAATATATATATATATATATATATTTATACATATTATATATATGTAATATATATGTATATTTGTCCGTATCACAATGTTGACTTGTTTTTTTTTTTTTTGTTTCATATCCTGTTTGTCTTGTTTACATTTTTTCTTTGTCTTATTAGGATTGTTTTGTTTTTATGACGTGTTTATTGTTCGTGATTGTTAAAAAGATAACCTTTTTCTACGTCTATATGCTTATACTCTACACATAGACACACACACACACACACACACATATATATATATATATATATATATATATATATATATATATATATATTTTTGTGTATGTGTGGGTGTGTATATATATATCAGTATATGCATATATATATATATATATATTCCCTTTTGTTAATGTTGTCGTTGATGTTGTGTTCGTTGTTGTCCGTACGGTGTACGTCCATTTTGCATGTTATTTTAACTGTTTACAGATCAAAGCGCCAGACAGGTGACTTAAAAGCGGCAGCATACCAAGCATGGTTGGCCCTGGGCCGGACTTTGCCACCTGACTGTCCCGAGGTCGCTTGTGGCGTGGTCGATGTAGAAGCCAGGTACAGTAAAGAGCAAACAATAGGACGCCGGCTTCATTATCTGTACACATCTATTTATAAAGCGCCCTCTATGTTTCCTTATATTTTCATTTCTCTCTCTCTCTCTCTCTCTCTCTCTCTCTCTCTCTGTTGGATGTTTCATTCTTCTGAGTCTCTCAATGACTTTTTCTACTTCCCTATCTATCTATCTATCTATCTATCTATCTATCTATCTCTTGAATATCTATCTATCTAATTCCAGCTAAATAGAACTATGCAAGATTATATATATATATATATATATATATATATATATATATATATATATATAATCTTTCTTAGTCCCTTATTCTTGCTATTTCCTTATTTCCAAGTATGCGGTCTTACCGCCATATCACGTTGAAACATCGGTTCTCGTCAGATCACCGAAGTTAAGCAACGTCGAGAATGGTCAGTACCTTGATTGGGGATCGCTTTGGATTACTAGGTGCTGTATGCTTGAATGTGCGGTGGTGTAACGGATAATGGCTCGAAACTGGAAACCGATGAACCCAGTCAAATTCGTTATATTCTCTTAGATGCAAAAACCCTTAGGAAAGGTATGAATCCACCTTTTTTTCTCCCCCAAAATATGAGTTAAATTAATAAGAGCTTTACCAGTAAATCATTATTATCCCTAAACGATTCTTACAATCTAATATATTTTCAGCCTTTAAATCACCAGCAAAATGTTGATAAGTCGTAAAAAACAAATCAATGAATCCAATGTGTGTGAATATAAATGTGTGGCTAGTTACTCCCTGTTGTAGACACCGACTTTTAACAACCATAGAGCCAATTTATAATTTATACTTTATACTGCAACTATTTTTAACTGACCTTAGTGACAGTATTCAGGAGAGAGATATCAAAAGGTTGAAAAGCTGTAACCCCCCACCCAAAAAAAAACAAACAAATCAATCAACCATTAGACACAGTGTGCTCTTGATGCAAACTTTTTACCTCAATTTCGATTTCTACACTGGTCTTTTTTTCTCGTCCAAATCTCGTACAGAAACTGTTTATAGTTTCTATCAATCTTCATCGTGTCCACTCCATCGTCATCGGTGATGAAGTAACAAAGACCCTAT